CTTGCAAGTTCTAGCTCTGGTTCCCTTTGCGAGCGTGGCTACTCTTGTCTTGTTTTCCTTGTAGGCTTCCCTCTCTTCAGCTGGTTCTCCCAAGCTTTAAGGCACTGCTGAACTAGCCTGGGAAAGGGAATTCCATGTGAGCTCAGATCCACCCTGGAGCTGAGTCTTGGGTTGTGGTCTTGCAGGGGGTCTGGCTCTCGTGTGCTGTGGTGAGGGCCGCTGAGCCCTGGAGTGGGAGCGGAGGGGCGCTTAGGCAGCACGCAGGGCAGGTTCTGAGTACGTACACTAAAACGGGGTGGAGTGGTCTCAGGAAGGCTGCAGCAGTACGGGGTTGTCTTGGGTTTGAGGCGCTACACCTTGCCAAGCGTTGGTGGGGGTCAGAAGTTGGGCAAAGCCCCAGAGCTGTGGTAGTCTTCATCCCATCAGCAGTAGGTTTGGAGCATCTAAATTCTCGTTGCACCCTGGATTTTGGCAGGGGGTTCAGTCTGTTATGGTTTGGATAAACAGTTTGGCAAGGTCCTGGTCTGAAGAGCAAATACCTTGGCACAGGCAGCCCTGCTTGCCTGTGGGAATGGTCTGGGCACGGTCTGGCTATGGCACATGAGGGAAGCCAATGCCGTGCTCCAGGGTACAGGGAGGCTGTGGCTGAAGGGTGCTGCAGCCTGTGCAGGCAGCTGGAGCCTGCAGGCCTCTGGATTATTCCAGATTTTCTCCTTTCTAACTGTCCTGCGCTTGCAGTGCACCTTTGATGGGAGATGGAAGGCTGGGGAGAGCAGAACTTGTCTCCCTGACCCCTGAAGCCATCTCAGAGCTGCCTGCTATGGAGGTCGCTTCCTGCAGAGGTAAAAACCCCCAGCAGCAACGGGGCCTCCGGGGTGATGGTTGCATTGCTGTGGCCTCCCCTCTGTCCCTTCCTGGCTCTCCATGCTGTCAGGTTTGGCGTGTCCCACTGTCCCTGCTTCGTTGTGTGTGTTGAGGGGTAACGGTTCATCGGTGTGGCTGGTTTTATTAGCCCTCACGCCAGGGGCTCGCTCAGCTTCCAGCCCCACCGAGTGAGAACCCTTTGGACCCCTATCCGTGGCCTGTGGTTGACACAGGTCCTGGGTTGCCAATTTAATGG